CTCACTGTGTAATCTAGACTGGCCTCAAACTCATGGCAATCCTCCTGCCGAAGCCTCCCAAATGCTGGGATTACAGGCATGTAACAACAAGACTGGCAACTATCTTTTAAAAGTCCAGGGTGATGACACATACCTGTAATCCCAAAACTCTGGGAGGCTAAGACTAGAGGGTTGCAATTTTGAGCTCATCTAGGGCAATTTAGTGTCTTAAAAGAACTTGTCTCAAGATAGAGAATTTTTTTCTTTTTTTAAAAATTTATTTTAGGGAAGGGTCTACAGGTTGTTCAGGGTCTCACTACTAGACTTTTAGTGATTCTCCTGTTTACAGTGTCCCAAGTGCTGGTGTTGCAGGCAGCCCAGTTAGATAGAAATATTATGGGCAGTCAGACAGGGCCAGGCCCTGGAAGGAGACAGCACAAAAGACAGGATGCCTTACAACTGTGGGAGGAACGGATGCTCCTGCTGTGAGCCAGCCCTAAAGAGCAAACAAACAAACAAACAAACACTAATCTCCCTAAAGATTAGCATCCCAGATTGATCATTACCCTGAGAAAGCCAAAAAGAATCCTTATCTGATGGCTCCTGTTTCACTTTCATGCCCCCTTGCTATGTAACTCCCTTCCCCATTTGGTCCTGGACTTAAATCAGTCTTACCTGAGCAATGGTGCTTGTAATCTCATTGGTTGACCATAGTTTTGTCCCACCCCACATCCACCTAAGTGAGTTCCCATTCTCTCCGCCTAAGCCCCGCTTAGTTTTACACTATAAAAGTCCCTGAAGAGACAGCTTCTGGGGGAAACAACCCGCTAAGGGACCCTCCTCCTGTCCCTCTCTCGGACAGGAGCTTTCTCCCCCTCATAAATATCCTTTGCTCATAACCTCCATTTGTTCCTAAAATTATTTCTTTGGTTTTAGAGAACACAAACTCGTACAGGTCAGGTCGGGAGATCATTTTTCCCTATGTCATTTGGAGGTTCCCTATATCATTTGGAGGTCACCCACTCGAGGTAGGGAGTTTCTCTTCCCTATATCACAAAGACTACATATGCGCCCCACCACACTGGGTCTAAATTGCTGTCTCAGCACTGGGAGGGGGCGGAGCGGTGGGGCTGGCATGGCAGGCCCAGGGAGATCAACCCCTGGCTCCTGTGCCTGTTTGCAGGTGCTTTAATCTGCTGAGCTATTTGGCCAGCCCAAGATGGAAAAATCTTCAAAAGGCTTGGAGATGTAGCTTACTGTGAAGGCCTTGAGTTCAGTCTCTATTACTGCACCCCCATCTTTTACAGAGCAAAACTTAAATTCTTTAAATGTTTCAGATTAGTTTATTTAACACATTAATTTAGATTGCTGAAGCCTACACCTACCTGAGTTCAGAGCAGCAGAGTGCTGATTCTAATAACCTGTAGTTCCATTCTGTTTGATTTATCCCTCTTGACAGTTGGAAGTAGAGCACGTGTGGTCTGGTCACCCGTGTTCTGACTGAAGGTCCTGAGACACACCTCCATGTTACATTCATTTCAGCTCCACTGTGACTTGAGGTTTTTTCCTTTTCTTTTTTCATTTATGGTTGTGGTACAGGGTCTCTGTGCAGCTCGGACTCGTGGTGATCCTGTTTTCAGCCTCCCCAGCACTGGGATTACAGGCATGTGCCACCACGCCAGGACTTGGTCACTGTCTTGACCATGGGGGGTGGGGCACAGCATGGAGTACTGGGGTCAAACCCTGGTCCCTGCTCTTGCCAAAGCAGGTGCTTAGTCTACTGAGCTATCTTACTGGCCCTGTGACTTGAGTTTTTACTGACTTAAGTTTTAGTTTGATCTCAGGGAAGAAAGTATGGAAATTCCTTGTTGAAATCTTTTGTTGTTGTTGTTGTTATTTTGTATTTAGAGAATATCTATTTA